ATAAGAAACTAAATATATTTTCGCTATTTAAAAATTATAAATTAAATTATTTTAACAATGCTATTTAGTTAAAAAGAATCAATAAAGTTCGATAATATTTTTAAAGTATTGATACTACTAATAATAATAAGCTGCATTCTTTATCGTTAAATTCATCAAAATCTTTAATCTACCAATTTTTTTTGCTCATAGAATCGCAGTTTTACTTAAAGTACAGCATCTTAAATCGTAAGGCATAGCTTTCGCAAATTTACGGTAACTTCCCTACGCTACAAGTATGTAAGGTTTTAAGTAATTGCGCATTCGTACTTCTAGTGCGCTTGCGTCAGGTTTGGTAAAATGCTTATGCACTCGTGAAAAAAAAATCTAACTTAGGTAGGGAAAAATAAGATTTAAAAGGATAAAAATTTAGTTTTTAAATGTTAAGAAATATGTTATGCATATTTCTGCATGGCAGGGGTCAGTTTGGCCCTTCCCAGATTGCTTGTGTGTAGATATATTAGAAATAAAAATCTTAAAATATACTCATAATTTCTTATAATTCACTCATAATTTATAAAAACATATTCATATACCCATAATTTAATAAAAACATATCTAATCAAAATTTTATGGTATTTTATTCGAAACGAAAATATTTCATTAAACGGAACGCTGGCTTTTTAACTAATCGTATACTTTAGTTTCTTATATAATTGAGTTTTCTTTTCTTTTTAAAATCTTATTTATAGATACGCTTGTTTTTTAATTAAACTTTGCAATCTTATATGTACCAAAGCATGCCTTACACCCTAAGCTATCAGGAATTATGGGACAACTACCAAGATACCTAGAGATCACTCTGTCAACTCCCATTATTCTGGGCTGTTTGGTTCAATATATACCTACATTTTCATAGCACTAACACTAGAACGATTAAATAAGCACTGAAATTGGATGAAGTCATAAAAACATGAAATGCTAATCACCTTCAGTTTCTGAATTACAAAACAGCAAGAAAGTGATGAAAAAATGAGATACCCCTCCGTCCAATAAGGAAATACAGGTGTCCAATAAGGAAATACAGGTGTCCAATATGGAAATATAGGTGTCCAATAAGGAAATATAGGTGTCCAATAAGAAAATACAGGTGTCCAATATGGAAATACAGGTGTCCAATATGGAAATACAGGTGTCCAATATGGAAATATAGGTGTCCAATAAGGAAATATAGGTGCCCAATAAGGAAATATAGGTGTCCAATAAGGAAATATAGGTGTCCAATAAGGAAATACAGGTGTCCTATAAGGAAATATAGGTGTCCAATAAGGAAATATAGGTGTCCAATAAGGAAATATAGGTGCCCAATAGGGAAATATAGGTGTCCGATAAGGAAATATAGGTGTCCAATAAGGTGTGCGTAATATGAAAAAAAGTAACGAGTGTAAAGAGATGACGTTGATCGTAATTTTTATTAGAGAAAATATTTTTTCCTCCTCTTCCATTGGGTGAAAAATGTATGGATAAATAAAGATAAATTGGTGTTTTTTTCAGCTAATTAGAAATTTTACTGTATACAAAATAATTTTGCTACCCATTTGTTCTTGTAAAATATATTTTATTTATAGGTGAAATGTGCGAAACTAATAAGGGAAAAGATGCCGATTTTGATATATATAACTATTGTCCTTGCTCTAAGGGATTCAGATGTAAAAAATCCAATGACAAAGTAAATACATATTGACTTTTAAAAGTATTTAAGCATCTTTTCCTATCTTTAAACATCTCTAAACCAGGTTCAAAACATCAAAATTCCACAGTATAAAATTTTTATTAATATTAGGGAGATTTCGCACATTCACGTTAGCTTCCGTAATATTACCTTACGTTATTACATTAGCTTACGTATGTCAGTTATGGTGAAATTCACTTGAGCCTGTGACGAAATATCAAACTCACGTATGTTAAAATAAGAGATTTTGAAAAAATCAGCGAATTAAAAAAGCTTAGGTATTGCAATAGAATTTTCATTTTGACCACAAAATCAAAACAAAGATTTAATATGGACATAGACTATTTCTTTAAGACTGTGGCATATGATTCAACCAGATTTTTTTTCTCTACTTAAAACAGAGTTTTTTAGAGCAGAAAAATTCATTAGATTTTATATTTGATAGATTGGTAGATCGCATGATATTATGATAAATTCAGCGATAGAAAATGCTACTTATTAATAATAATAATAATATTAAAAAAATATTTTTGAACTTCTATTGATTTTTTACCATCTTTCAACTGATTAGAACAGTTCAAATATAAATTTCATTTATAATCTTAAAATAGCAAAAATATATTTAGTTACGTACGAAACTAGTGCAAATAGACAACCTTAGTATATACCAGACAACAATAAAATTATTTATTTATTGAATGAGCTATATGCTGTAAGATCACGCGATTTATTTTTTAAATTTCATCAATACATCTCTTCAAATTCGCATTCAATGTTCCGATTTATCACCCATTTCGGAGCAAAAGCTTTTCCACCAATAATGAAGAGCTACAAGATTTGGCAAATTATCGCTACAAACGACGTTAACCTAACATATAGAATAGTCAGTAAAGAAAAGAGTGCATCGATTAACATTGTTTTTCGGAAACTTTTTTTGATACTTATATAAATTCACTGCAAATTTTATTACCGATTGAAAGAGTTAAATAAAAAATTGTATATGTGCTACATGCCAATTAAATCAATTGTTTTTTAATGATTTCAAAATAAATATCACACTAAATTTTATGTTTGTGTTAGATCTGGGTTTTTCCAATTTCTTTTCTGGTTTTTTCAAACAAAATTAAATAGAAAAAACATGTTTTGACCTGAAATATTGTTAAGTATGCTTTAATAATTAAATTTATAATGCAATATTCTAAATAAAAATGTCTACAATCATGAGAAATAATACATTTTGTTTCCAAATCAAGAATTAATTTGAAATTAGTTTTTTCAATTGAGACATTGAATTTTTTTTAAAACGTAAAAGGACAAGATGAATTAAGATTTTTAGCTATTATTATTATTATATGAATAGCATTATTAGAATAAATAGAAACTAGTGTCTTATGGGGAGGGTAAGAAACGACGCATGAGAAGTTTTTAAATAATTTATTTAAACAAATATTTTATTTCAAATCACACTTGCATAACATTTATTTAAATGAGTAACACATAAATAAGGAGTACATAAATAAGGAGAAGTACAGTTTAAAAAAATTGATCTACATATTATTCATCACTAGATAGTAGTAGTTTTTACGCATTTTTGGTTCTTTAATAATAAAATAAGAATAATAATTAAGCAAATGCAAACCTGCCAACTTTTAATCTTTTCAAGGATGATTTTCCCCAGTGGTAGTAAAATGAAATTTAAATTACAATATTAGGCAAAAACATTCGCTGTATTTTGAACAAGCTTATGCTGATTACTACAACAATATTACATATTAATATATATGCTTATTTTTCTTAAAAATATTAATCAAAAATATTTTAAATCAAAAATATTTTAAATTAAGTTTATAAGTGCAAGGAATATATAGAAAGCATTCATTTTGCTACCACTTTAAATTTAGAAATAAAATTTTACGCCAAATGCGTAAAAGTTGGCAGGCATGCAAATTGAGAGGAATTAGTTTGCATTAGATTTAAGCTGATATATATTAGAAAAAGGTTTAAGACAGCCTATTACTTTCAGCTTTTTTGAGGAATTTTTAAGGAATTTAGAACATTGAAAATTGTTGGAATAGCATCAGGTCTGAATTTATTGTTACCATCCTATCTATTTATAGTTGAGATTCTTCAAAATGAACCTGAAAAAATAGTTAGAATACTTTTTTTTATTTCCATATTTAAATTGAATCCCATTAAAAATATTTAGATTTTACAATTTTTAAACATATTCCCATGAAATTTTCCAACACAGAAACTAATTGTTTCAGCAATTTAACACGAGAATTACAAAGAAAAAAATATTGGTAGATCCAAAAATATATGAAAGATCGCATATGAAATAGATTTCTTATGATAAATGGAAACAAATCGTTGAACTTTAGGCTAGATATTACCATAAATAACTAAAAAACAAATAAAATTAGACAAGATTAAGAAAGTAGCTACTTGATCTTAGTGAAATAAAAAGCAATACATTGAAAAGCAGGTAAATATTAAATACAAACAATAACACTAAAATGCAGTAAATATGACAAAAAGATATACTTAAAAGTGAATACAAAACTTGGCGATTCTGAACTATGCCACCATAATGTAGCATAACACAAAATGTTTTAATACACTGTAAATTATTTCATGATGTATGGGTTAGGGGCAGCTACGCGGCCCAGGCACCCAATTTATTTTAAATAAAGAAAGAAAAGCGATTCTGAACAGGGATGAAAGCGAGACGGAAAAGAGAAAAGGCTGGAAGTAAAACCATTTCAGTTATTGCTAGTTTTTGGGAGGAGTTAACTTATTCTTCTTTTAAACTATTCAAAAATATCTATTTTCTCTTGGAAAAGAAGCAGATATATATATATATATATANTACTGCGGTTCGTAAAATATGTGTATCGATATATGGCGAAGACGCATTACACATTTTTTAAAAAGGAAAATTTCTAGTTTGATGTTATGCATGCAAATGTCAGTAATTTTTATATTTTTTGTACTGATATTGAATTTTTCTCTAATATAAGGAGTTTTCGGATTATCCGTGTTTTTCGATTGTCCGTGTGACCTGTTCCGGTGATTAACCCGGATAATCGGGAGTGCACTGTATATATATATGTCAAAATCTTAATGAAATCTTGATAGTTACAGATATTTTATTTTTCTCGGAAAAAATGCTACAATAAAATGTCTTTGGTACCAGTTTTTCATCTTTTCCGTCTTGCTATATTAGGGCTTTCAGCCATGATTCTGAAATAAGTAGCTTGGTGCAATATCTCCACATCACTCCTTAAAAAACTCAAAACATGCCAGAACAAAATCCTCAGGAAAATAACAAAAGCAAGATGGTTTATCAGAAATAAAAACATACATCGCGAACTCAACATACATTCTTTAGATCATCATATTGCAAAGCTCTTAGTAACCATATCCTCCGGAATGCATCCCAGACCGTCGTCAATTGCCCATTGTGCAGCTCTAGTGCGACGCAAATTAACAGCAACAGCTACAAGCAAGCAAAGCTAAATTTCAGATTTTTTGGAAAAAAACCATAAATTGTGGCACCGCAGGATTCAACGAAATTTTCACTTTTGAAAACTTAAGAGAAGACATAAACCTCAGGCCGATGGCAGCTTACTTTTGTAGTGACGTAATTTTATCTAAAATTCAGAATATTTAAATTCCTTCTACTTCAATTGCATTCCAATTACCAGAAAGAACCACCCTAAAGGTCACGATTCAAGACGAATGGGAAAAAGACCGCTAACGGCCCCAGGCGCCCAGATAAATATTGATGATTATGATGATTCTGAAATAAGTCTGGAGAATACTTATTCAGCTAGTCTCTTGCCGTTATTTATTAGTTTTATTGCACATAAACACTGAAAATCAATAAATAAATCAATAAATGCTGTTTGAAAGTCATAGTTAAAATAAATATATACTTAATAAATGCAATTTTCAATGCAAATTCCTATATTTGGTACATAGTTAAAGCTGTACAATTCAAGTAACCTTGAAAGTTATTCACTTACTTAAAAAAAAAAAAAAAATAGGCGAAAACAAGTATTCAAAAACAAATTCCAACAACTTAATATCGTTTATATACTACATATACAAGTAAATAAATCTAACAAGTTATAAATAAATGGGAATTTACCTCACATAAGCGAGCTCCACTTCCAGGCTGCCAATTGTATCTGCTGCAATTTATTATCCATTTCTTCTTTCCTTGCAAATCAGAAGGAAATCTTAACACTCGGAAGCCTTTTTTTGAACTGTTTGTACAATTTACCACCGCACAATCACCCATATCAATAATTTTTGGTATCCAAATAGCCTTCAAACTATCGCGCTAATACTAACTTGCGAACTTGTCAGCTCCAACATGGCTGATAGTTCAGCTCTAATTGTATAGGAGCCTTAGTTTTCGTAGAATAAATTACGCCCACCATAACGTAAATAAGCGTAACATCTAAAATAAACGCGAGCATTCGCATTTTCTGACATCTTACGTACGTACTGAAGCTAACGTAAAAGCGCGAAATCTCCTAATTAAAATGCCATGCTAGTACAGGGTTATTCATAATTCCCTCTGTTTACTACAACCTTATGTTTACTACAACTGGCTTCAGTGGTACATGTTACTGCCATCTACCGGCAACTGCTTAAATTAAAACTTGAATACTTTCGGAATAATTTCATATGTTCTTTTTTGC